GAACAGTGGTCCTCCCTCTCCCTGCCCCAGGATTTCTCACTTGTCTCTGAGGAACAACAACATCGATGACTACGGGGCGCAGCTCCTGGGCCAGGCACTGTCAACACTGCACAGCAGCAACCGGGCCCTTGTTTCACTGAACCTGGGATTCAACCACATCGGGGATACGGGCGCGGGCTACATCGCGGATGTGCGTGCCGTGGGGTCCTGCTTGGGGGCGGCCAGCTTGCCCTTGGCTTACAGGTCACTGTGTTCTCCAGGGCCTGAGGCTGAACCGCTCTCTCCTCTGGCTGTCCCTGGCGCACAACCGTATTCAAGACAAGGGCGCGCTGAAGCTGGCAGAGGTGGGTTTGTGGGCTGGGCGGGGCAGGGGTGCTGACGCAGGTGTCTGACGAATGGAGCTGGCCTTGCCTCAGGTCCTGCGCCCCTTCGAGCTGACCCACACGGAAGTGGTGGAGCGGAGGCGCCTGCTGCTGGAGAAAGGAACACAGGAGCGGTCTCGATCGGTGAGAAGCTGCCTAGCCCCAGGGCAGCTGCGTTTGTTTTCCAGGTCGGCTCCTTTGCTGCCCACTACCCCGGACTCTTAAAATTTTCCCCTCCTCTTCTCCAGACTCTGCAGACCAAGGGTCTGTCACGCCCAACTTGGTGCACTAACTACACAGCCGCTATGACAAATAGTGTGGTGAAGAGAAAAGACACTGTTGCGACCACCTGGCTTGAAAGCCTCCCTGCCACATTACCAGTTTCCAATCTTGAACTCAGGGCTTAGGCCAGGAGCCTCACTTTCCTCAGCCAAGCAGGATTAACTGTCTACTTTCTTCACAGAACTGAGGCGGTTAAGTGAGTTAGTATAATGCATTTGGAATACTGCTCAGCATTTAGCTCAGTAAAACCTGCTGTCTGGGCATGATGTGAACCTTATCAGTTAGGAGGCAGATGAAAGATGAGTTCAAGGACAGCCTGAGCTACCAAGTGGGACCCTGGCTCAGTAACAGCAAGGTCTGGGCTTATAGAATACTGGTAGAGTATATGCCTGACATGCACAAAACCCACAGTACTACAATAATCAAAGAAAAAGGTAAATTCAAAGTGGGCTATTTCCCCCTCCTATGATGACCCTCCAGCTCATTCTCATCCATTTCTGGGCTTTTTCTTGCCAAAAGCAACTCTGTCCCAGACCAATGGATACGTAGAGGGAGGGGGAAGGGAAGAGCTCCAGTTACTTCCTCTACACCCTCCCATTTGTGAGCACAGCCTTCCTCCTCCCGATATGGGGACTCCAAAATGGACCGTGAGAAGTCTCAGATGGCGGGGATCAGCAATGTGGCTTCTTCGTCAGACAAGTCGGAAAAGATACAGTCAATAAAAACCCCTAAGGGCCTGAGCAAGAAAAAGGAGAAGCCAGGGGTAGGTGTACTGGGCCAAAGGGAATCTTGGGCCCTGAATGGGGAGGGCAGTAGAAAGAAGACAAATGAATTTGGCCTTTGATGGTGCCTCTTACGCTAAGCATTCATATATTTTCCCTCTGGGAGGCAGGGAATCCATTCTGTCTTCTCACATCCTTCACAGGAAGTTGTAAAGAAGGAAGAAAAGTTGGGACCTGGGCAGTCACCGACACAAGGGACCACAAAGAAAGAAGATGCCACAAAGGCAGGCAAGGGGAGTAAGTGTGCACCCCCTCTATGGGAATCTTCCCCACATGGAGGATGGAAGAGCCTTGGGCAGGGTGCAGGAGCCTAGTTTTGTCTGCCAGGATCTGTTTTGTCATGTCCCTCCCTGGGCCTTGTTGATTCCTCATCTTGAAACAATTAGTGGCCCACCATTTTAGTCCTGTCTTGTAGGACTAGGCCTCCATGGCTGTCCTCAGAAGAGGAACCTGATAGGAGCTCATTGCAGATGTTCCTATGTTCCCCCCAAATCTCAGAGTTTGGGGAATCTCTGCCTTACCAATCCCTGTTCTCTGGGGAGTCTGGGTGGTGTCAGGGGGTCTGCTCTGTGCATTCTGGCTCCTCTTCTGGTCCCAGAGGTAACCATCCCTGAGCAGAAGATAAGCAGGGGAAAAGGGACGAGGACGGGTACCAAAGAGAAGCGCAGCATCCTCCTGGACTCGGAGGTAAGTGGCCCTCACTGCTTAGGCAGCCACCCCTAACCCTCCACTGCAGCCCACACAGGAGTCCAGGGCTCCCCACTTCCCTCCTCATGTGGCAAGGCCCTCTACCTCCTTGTCTAGAAGCCCCACTCTAGACCTGCTGCCTAGGAGGTTATGTTCTCTGGGGCCCTCAGGTCACCATCAGCCCCTCCAACACCTGCCATCTGTATAGCCACTTACGGGCTCCCTAAGGCACTTTCTTTCAGTCCCACACTGCCCCACAGGACTCCTCCTCCAGACCCCCTTTTGCTCCTGGAATCTCTCCTTTCAGATCTGTTCCTTAGGAAGCTTCCTGGGCCACCTACTTTCTGGCTCCCAGTCCTCCATCCTTCAACTGCACAGCCTCTGTTCTCTCCATGAGGAGAGTCTACAACCCTGTCACATGCTCCTGGAAGGGAAAGTTCTGTCTTCTTAGGAGTCTTTCCTGGCACCCAAGACAAGTTCTGACAAGTTCTGGCAAGTCAGACAGAAGGATGGTGGCTCTTTAATTTCCACGCTCCAGTCTTTGCCTGTCTTGGGCTGACTGCTCCTGCTCACCAGGAACATGTTTTCCATATGCTCTCTTTATGAAAGAGTTCAAATCCTTACTAAAAGCTTAGTCCCGTGTGGACTCATGGCTCCAGAACCTCTGTACTGCAGGTTTCTTGCTTGGGGAACCCAAGCAAGACATCTTACAGTGTCTGTGTGCCTTTAACTTCCCTGCCCAGGCCGCCTCCTTTAAAGACTACACTCCCACAGCCCTACTTGCTCAGGGGGCCCTCCACACCACATTCCTGTTTAATCCTCTGGCTCCCCCACACCAAGAAACCTTTTGAGGGTATGGGCTTATTTATCTTTGTTTCTCCAGCACCTAGGACAGAGCCTGAATTATATCCAGCACTCAAAACCTGTATGTTGAATGAATGAATGAATGGCCTGTTGACCAGCTCCCCTCTCCTCTGCTGCAATTAGTATTCTACTTTAGCAGCTGATGGTTGAAGCTACAGAGATGGTTAACCCTCTCCTGGAGCCTGTGGAACACCGAGATGGGAAGGTTTTCATGCCTGGGAACAAGGTCCTTTTGCACCTCAACCTCCTCCGTACGTTTGCTAGCCTTGCCTGTCCTTACCATGGGACTGGCTGGGCTCCATCCTGCTAAGGGGCCAGCTTCACAGGGTGTACTTGATTCTCCAGGAGCTGAGCATCATTTTGTCACACCCACGGGGCTAGATCTGAAGAGGAAGTGCTGGGCCATCGAGGGGGCATCCAGGGCAGTAGCTAGGTAGGGAAGAGGCAGCAGGGTAAAGGGAAATGAGGTGAAGGTGTGATGTGAAAGGATACTGGCTGGAGGGCTAGTTAAAGTCAGTCCTGCCTAGTGAATCTGAACATAGGGGGAGCCAGCCAGCAAGTCAGGTGTGATATCAGATGCCACTGTCTGTGCCTCCTCTCAGGAAACCAAATCACAGAGGTGGGGCTGGAAGGCTTCCTCACTGCTGTGCAATACCAGGTTCAGGTCACCAAGTCCAAGACTTCATCCAAGGGCCCCATGGGGCTGCTGTGGCTGTCCCTGGCGGTAAGTCTGCAGCTTACTTCCAGAAGGTCTCATCATCCTGATTCCCATGTTTTCTGTGGTTAGCAAGGGTGTGGCTGCCTTCCCCTGCTCACCAGCTCTGGCATTCTGTCCAGTTATCTCCTGGAGCCAAACTTCATTCCTGTTAATTTTCCTTTTTTTCTTCTTTCAGAAAAATTGCTTTGACCCGCAGTGTCCAAAATACACCATGATTCAGGAACTGATGCTGCCAAGGGACCCTGTGAAGACCAAGGTCAAGGAGGAGGAGGCCATAGCTGTCTAGGCCTCCTATGGGTGGCCCTTATCTCCTTGGGAGATATCTTGGACCAGTAACAGTTTATTGTTGTGCTGTTCTTTGAAAATCACTCCAGAACTGTTTGGAACATTTGGGCTCTAGTCTGTTCATATTCCCTGGCTAGATGTGGCAGATTGGCGGCCTGAATCATACCATGGCTCCGTTGCAGGAAGAGCTAAGCTCCTGGCTACAAAGCCAGGGCCATTGTTCTACCACCTGAAAGACCCAGCAGCATCCTCCCGACATCTTTGGCAGCCTTAGGATGATGGGGGTCAGTCAGCATAACTTATGCTAGGACTCATCACCCAGCATTTCCTGCTGCTTATCTCCATCTGCTTCTCTGGTTTGCAAGAGGCCAGGGTTCAGCTTTGAAAGATGAAGGCACTCTGGAGAGGGCATTATAGCCATATTTGTACAGAAAAGGCCAAACATTTAGACATGGCAGGTCTAGAGAGCCCATGCCAAAACTACAGGGAACCTCCAACCCAGGTAAAGGGACATGTCCCTCATTTCTAGCCCCTCTGCCTACCAGAACTCCATTTTGTCCACTCTGCTGAGTGGCTCCAGGCACCTCTCTGCTACACCTTGACGGCACTGTCAAGGTGCACATTGTCATCCAGTGTGGCTTCTCCAATTATATGACAGGTCCTCTAAAGCGTCACCTTCAGTCCCACACTTAACTGGCATGGCTAATCCTGATCTGTGGGAAGGGGAATGAGCACAGTGACATGACCCCTCTCCATGTTGTGTAGCTGAGGGTAGAACATGACATCCCTGCCATGATATCCTTTGTGTGAAGTAACCACAATGTCCTTTTTTGGGGGCCAGGGGCAGTTGCCCAACCTCTGCTAAGAAGGTACACTCCTGAAACTTTGGGAGAGGTGGTAAGACCTGGTGTGGGATGGTGTGGGAGGGGCTCTCTTGGCTCCCTCTACCCATTCTTGACCAGTCACAACCAACAGCTTCATACCCTCTACCAGTCTAAGAATCATACAACCACAAGGAAGAATATTTAACTTTTCTTTAAAAAAATCTTAACCATGAAAGGAAGAAAATAAGAGTATACATTATTTTAACAGCAAAACAGTCATTTCCATATCTATATTTTATATATTATATATATTTATATATATGTATATATACACCTAGCACAGTGTGTATGTTCACCAGTGGGGAATGGATGATCCAATGATGCTATGGCCCCTGGGGAAGGCCCTGACTTAATTCAGGGACTCCTGCAATCCAATCCACATCTCTCGGGGTCTGTTTTGAGCTCCGTACCTGCTGTATTTGTTTCTATGGGGCAAGTGGGGAAGAGGTGGGCTGGGTAAGAAGCTCCCTGCAGGGGTATCTCATGACAATGAGAAGGCCTAGGCTTCAGAGGCAGGCCCCAAGGCTTGACAGGGCCGAGTCTGGGAGATCTTCCTGCCTCTGGGACATAGACGGTCATGGCCCTGAGCTGGGCTGCTACCTGCTCTCTAAGCTGTCTCTCTCTGACTGGTTGAGCATGCCAGGAACAGAAAAAGGCTAAGTTATTATTTACAGTGGCAAAGATGCACATACAACAGACATATTTGTAAGAAACTAAAGAGACAAACAGAAGAGCTGGGCACCCAGCTGTCTTGGGCCTAGGAAGAAGGGGAGAAAAAAGTGCATTTACACATAAGCCTCCTCCTTTGACTTGCACACCTGAGGGCACTGTGCACACGGCACACCCCACACATGCTGTATGGCTATGTGGGGTGGAAGCATAGACCCTTGTGGGGAGCCTTTCTGTTGTGGTCAGCATGCTTAGGAGATGAAAGCCATAGAGATTTGGGCTAACAGGAAGAAGAGACACGGAAACTGGACTCTGTCCAGTGTGAACAGACCAGGCAACATGCGGCCTCCCCGGTTCTGCGGCATCTTTCAGGGTGGGGGGTGGGGAGCTTGGGTCTCCTAGTGTTGTGCTCTGGCTCAGGCCAAACTCCAGCACAGTGGAGAAGCAGACGGCTCTGGCTGTCTGGATGGTTATGGTCCTGGGGACGCAGCTGTGTCTGTGGCACTGTCTTCCAGGGGGGTAGTGAAGCCTGTGGGAGTATGGTGAGAATGAGAAGATATTCTCTTCCAAGTCCCTGGCTGGCTCTTCAGCACCAGCTGTTGGTGACAAAGCTTTCTCCTCCAGAAACTATTTTTTTATTAAACATTTTTTTTTCTTATATGCAATGGTGACAACTTGCTGGAGTCAGTTCTCTCCTTCCACTATGTGAGTCTCGGGGCTTGAGTTCAGTCAGGCTTAGTGAGCCATCTTGTCAGTCCAGCCCTCATTTCTTGTGGGATTTCAGTAGGCCTATGAGAACTCCATTTCTGTCTGGCCCCCCAAACCAAGACAGGTTTAAGTATGTTTTAACTTTGAGTCATGCCATGGCAGTGGCCTTGTCCTCATAATCGAGTCTGAGCTACAAGAACCCTCAGCAGAGGTCCTGCTACATTAACTCCTCAACATAAAAAGAGGGTTCAGTGAGATGGTTTTTAAGAATACTTTCTGCTCTTCTAGAGGACCCAGGTTCAATTCCCATCACCCACATGCCAGCTCACAACTATCTGTAACTCTAGTTCAGTCTTCTTCTGGAGTTCTTAGGCACTGCACGTATGTGGCACACAGACTTACAGGCAGGCAGTGAGCTCTGTACTACTAATCCCTATTTGGGGGGCCTCCGTGTAGCTTCCCTAAAAGACCCCTTTCTGGAGATGGAGAGAGTTCAGTGGATAGGCACTGCCATGCAAGCATGATTCCCAGAATCTGTAAACCTGGGTGTGGCAGTGCAGATCGGTAGCCCCAGTTCTATGGTACTAGGGAAAATGGAGGCAGGCAGCCTTGTTCACCCAGTAGTGAACACAGACCTTACCTCAGGGTGGAAGGCAAGAACAGACAGCTAAGGTTGAGCCCTGACACCCCCCCCCCCCCACTTCATAGCTCTGACTGGCCGGGAACTATATATCTAGGCTGACCTCCAACTCATAGAAAATCAGCTGCCTCTGTTTCCTGAGTGCTGGGATTAAAACTGTACACCACTATGCCTGGCAAAGATCTCTCTCTGAAGCTGAGGGGCCACCCCTCACCACTGGCTTACACTTGCTCATGGTCATGGTGTTCCCTCAAGGTAGCACATGCAGGAAAGTGGCTTGCTTCACTCACCTTCTTCGGGGCAGGACCTCCGTTCCTGACTGTTTTGGGAGTCAGAGGCCAGAGCTTCCTTGGCTGGAGAGAGGGAATGGTCTGTCCATCTGGCTGCCTCTGTGTGGAAAGTGTCCACAGGTGTGGTACCACCAGATGACTCTCTGAGGGACTTGAGCAGCTCCCTGTGGGCCAGCTCCAGGTCCTGGAAGAGGTGTAGACATGTCTGAGGCTAAGGCTCACAGGTTTGGCAGGACAGGCTGAAGATGAAGGTGACCTAAGACTCCCGCTAAAGATACATACTTTTTGAGTGGGGGATGCTGCTTAATGGTGAAATGTTTTTCTAGTATGTATGAGGGCCTAGGCTTAATTCCATATATGTTTATGTGTGTGCATAAATACGTATTTACATACACATTTATATATGTGAACATACACAGTTCCCTCTTAGGGAACTGTTCTGGGTAATGGACGGGAGCCTTCCTGACCCAAGGCCATGCTCCTCACCTTGAGTCTCTGAAGCTTGACGGTGAGCTGCTCGATTGTATGGAAGATCACACCCACATCCCTGAGGACCAGGCTGGAACATGTTTGATTCCCAATGCCTCCCCTCTGGTGCTGAGGCTCTGCTGGCCATGTAGGGGGGCTATGAGGCTGTGAGGGACTTTGGGGTATCCCAGTAGGCTCAGTGTTGGAGTCCAGAGGTACTGCTGGCATGCTGACATAAAAACAGTTCCCTGTCCCAATGGCAAGAGAAAAAAATTAGGAGACAAGCAGAGATGCCTACGTAATTCTCCCAGGCCCCCAGTGTATCCCGTGACAGAAAAAGCCATGGAGACTTCTACAGACAACCTAGTGCATGCAGGCCCATGCTGCCTACCAGACTCCCAGAGACCCTTTTCTCTTTAGATGGCAACTGTTCTCAGTCTGGCCACCTGCCAAGGGAAGATGCTCAGGGATGAGAGTGAAGGAGAAGGGGCAAGGTGGAGGGAGGAGACAGTGATGTCCATCCATGAAAGGAAGGGGTGGGGTTCTAGGCCCCTCTGGAGAGCAGCAGGCAGCAGTATTTCAACTACTTCGGTTCACACTCTACTGCCCTACCTGTCACCATCCCTTAGAAACAACTGCTCAGGGGAGGCCAGAGATAGCTGGCAGAAGTATGCAAAGGGTCACCGGGAGGGCCCCACCATGGACAGACATGAAGGAACCTACAAAGCCATGCAAACTTTTTCCCACCACAGGGCTGGGGAAGTGGTTTCTCAGAATGCTGGTAAAGCACACTGGAGTAAGGGCACTGGCCAGACTTTCCTGCCTTCTTCCCGACCTGAGCATAGGCTGCTTAAGCTCTGATATGGGCCTCTACATCTCCCAAAGGGTGCTTTCTCAAAGCCGGGGGGTACAGGTCTTCCTGTCTCTGGGCTCATGTGCTACGTCCCGCCCAGCTCAGACAGCTCAGACAGCATATACAATGTTTTGTGTAACAGAGCTCTGACAGCAAGGGCCCAATACTGTCCCATGGGACCCCTGCTCCAGCCTGGCCTGGCCTTGGCTCCAAGGAGAAGTTGATTACCCGTAGCCTGTGCTCCGCCTTCCACTTCAGATAGCTCAGATTCTGACTGGCCACTCTCTGGTAGTTCAGGGGTAATTTTGCTGCCCGCCACCTTGGCTGCACCGACACCACCAGGGAGTAGAGAGACTGAGAGACAAGACAAGGAGAAAGGAGGGAGAGAAAGCATGAAGGAGAGGGAGTAAGAAGTGGACACGGCGGGGGATAAGAATAAAGAAAGAAAAGAACAAAGTAAGTAAAGATTATACATGGCCATGTCCCAGGAGCTGCAGAGAACTTTCCACCAAGGCACCTTGGAGGATCAGAAGAAGGCCGATTCCCAGAAGCCCAGGAGAGGCAGCCTTTGGCCAACAGAACAGGGGCACATTCACAAGGCACTGATAGGGAGTCAGTGCCATACACTCCTCTTAGCCTCCAGCAGCCCAGGCTTGGCTTCAGCATTCTGGCCACCCTCCTCAGGTGAGCCTTCCCTCCTTAGTAGCCCACTCTGCCTGATTCGGTGCACCCTACCTTTAGTCTTCCTGGTCTATTCAAACCTGGCTGGAGTTGTCAACAGAGCTGCCAACAGTGTCCTCAACTTGGGGCCTCCTCTCTACCATTCTGTGTGCTTGCTCCCAGACTACCCATTTCCAAAGGTCTTCCCTGCTTTGTCAAGTCCCTCTGTGCTCAGCCACTTTCTGGAGTAACAGGCTGTAGGATTTGCACCTCATCTTTCTAAGCCTGAGACTCCTGGGAAGGAAATCAACATTTTGTTTCTTTAGACTAGAAAATCAATGAAGAATAGCAAAAAAAACTGTTACAGGAAGTTGATCTGTGCTTAGTTGAGAAAAGGGGTAGGAAATGTCCTCTTCTACTACAGAAGGAAAACGAGTCATGCCTTGAATTTTGTCCAAGACACACAGACATTAGGTAGCAAGAAAGGGCTTTGAGCCTTGAATTCGTATCAACATGTCTTCTTCCCCTAGGCCCCAGTGCAGTCTGCTCACACAGTATCCAGGAGAAAGATGCAAAAAGAAGTATCTGCTTACAACACTCACCTCTACCCCAGCAAAAGCATGAACACAATGGACACACAAACATATTTTACCTTTTCTTACAACTTTGTAACTTCCTGTTGGATCTGTGCTTGAAGCCTCTTCAGCTGGATTCCTATCCAGCTCAGGAGAGTCCCAGATGCCAGAGTTTCTGGTCCTTGGGGGCAGGTGTGCCAGAGAACAGAAAGTGGCATCCTCCCTGTCTGGCTGGCTCCCCTCTGGCCTTAGAAGCTGGGTGTTGTCACTTATAGTGGGAGCTTGCTCTGGGGACCCTGGGTCCCAGGGGTGAGAGGTGATGCTGACCACAGAAGGGGTAGGTGTGAGGTCATCCTCGGGCTCGCCAGCAGCCTGAGTCTTCACATTGTGACCGGGCAGCAGGCTCCACAGGATCATGTGCCGCAAGCTCTCCACTGCAGGGAAGACAGTGATGACCTCCCCAGTGAAGGACTACACATAAGATGGTCACTGAACACTCAGGAAGAGGGCTATCATTGCTCCTGCCACCAACACAGTCTGCTGCAGGCTAGAAGTACAGCTGCTGTGATCTGGCTCACCAGCTGGTATTTCTACATGTATCTTTTGTCAAACACAACTATTAAGAACCTTTGAGCAGGTAGAAGGTGAAATTGATGCTGTTACTGGGATACCAGGGACAATGACGGTGTCTGAGGCACTCACCATCTTCCAGGGCAGCATCAGCAAGCCCCTCCACGAGCAGAGGACCTGTGAGGGCCAGAAGGACAGGGTCCCTTGTCCTGATGCCTCTGTTTTCTCCGTCCAGGGAGGTCGGAGGGGAAGGCAGGGCTCTCAGCTCCTCTGCATCCTCCTCCTGCTCATGCTCCTCTTGTACTACCAGCTGCTTCTCTTGAACTCTCCGCTGGGGCCCAGGGCCTGTTTTGGATGAGTGTGTTAGGGCATGGGAGAGTAGATGTATAAGGTGAGCCCATGTGGAGCTACAGACCCAGAGCTTGGGAACACTGGCTGAGAAGCTCCATGGAAATTCACGGAGCACCTCCTGTGGCAATCAGCACACCAGACCCCTGACACATGCCAGCAAAGACCTGTGCCTGGGGGTAGAATGTAAGATCTTAGTGAAGGGACATAGAGTACAAAAGTAAACTAGGGAATCAGGCATTTGTTAGAAGGTGGTGAGTATTATGGGAAAAAAAAAAAGACAAAATAGGTTAGGGTATGAACATTAGAAGTGCTAGTTATACAATTAATTGGCATGAACAACAAAAATAACAGCACAACCACCACTGGAACAGCACTATGAAGGGGACTTGTGGGGACTTCTTCAAACTTAAGATCCTCAGTTACTAAAACAAACCAAAAATAATAACAAAGCCAAACAAAAACAAACCTCAAAGGGACCTGAAAATTGTGCTTCTACAGCCCATCTCAATAATTATCTTACACACTGAACTCCATGCACACTCCAATATTTCTTGCTCTCTGCATGCATCTTACTCTCTGACAGTAACCTCTGGCTGAGGCAGGCAGGGCCTTTCTTCTGCTAAGCCTGTTCCCCACAAAGGCAGTAGGAGCTGGTCAAGCTGTCAGTTTCTTCTCCTCAACTCCCTCTCCTGTTTCTCTCTACTCATTTTATCACAAACCCTACACCTCTGGCCCTGATTGTCACCCATCACCTGACCCCTCAATCTGACCCATACCTACAAAACATGGACTGTGCTGGTCTCCCACAAGATGGAGAGAGGCATAGCTCCATCCACCACCTGATGGAAACAGATGCAGAGAACCACAAACAAACATTGGGTGGAGCTCAGGGAGTCTTGTGGAAGAGTGCGGGGAAGGACAGAAGGACCCAGAGGGGACAGGAGCTTCACCAGAAAACCTAAAGAGCCAGCTAACCAGGGCCCAGGGGGTCCTGTGGAGACTGAAGCACCAACCAAGGACAATGTATGGAATGGAACTAGGCCCCCTATACAGATGTAGTCAATGGGCACCTCAGTCCTCATATGAGTCCTCTGGTTAGGGGAATGGGCACTGACTGTGACATGAACTCTGTTGCCTGCTTTTCGATCACTTTCCCCTGGTGGGCCTACCTCAACAGGCCTCAGGGCAAGAGGATGCACTCAGTCCTGATGCAGACTTGATGTGCTGGGGTAGGTGGGTAGGGGGGCTCTCCTTCTGAGAAGTACGGGAGGAGGATAAGGGAAAGAGGAAGGATGTGTGGGACCAGGAAGAGAGGAAGGAGGGGGCTTATGACTGGGATGTAAAATGAATAAATAAAAAAGATGGCGAGGGGCCTTACCTCCAGGTTGTTCCTTGGGTTCTGGTTCAGCATGGTATACTTCTGAGTCACTAGTTTCTACCCTGAAGAAAGAAAGCCTCTGAAGGTCAGAGCAGACCACCTAGTGGCAATTCTAACTTTGCCAGCCAGGGTGCAAAGAGGAAGGTTCTGGGCCTCATCACCTGACTGTGCTGCACAGGCTCGCAAAGCAGAAGGTAGATGCTGGCCTAGCTTCTCTGGCTGCACTCTAAACTTCAACCCTACTTTAAAGGCAGTTTCCATTATATGCAAGTAGGAGTAGTGGGCGAGAGCAGGGAGGGCAAAAGGCAGAGAAGCAGGGGCATGGTCCTCTATTTGCCAGAGCCACTGTTTCCCAATGGCATTTCCATGTTGAAGTGGTCTAGCCTAGGGGTGACAGGCTGAGGAGCATCAAGAAACAGGCAGGTTGGATGGGGACAGTGCTGGGAACTGGAGGCTGAACCATACCTGCTGGGGGCAGAGCCCTGCGAGGCTGGCTCCTGGGATTCTGGTGGTGAGGGATGGGTAGGTATTGGGGTAGCTCCAGGGTGCTTGGTGGCATTCCGCACGGCCTCTTCTAAGAGCTCCATCCATCTGTTGCTCGGCAGAAACACATGACTAATGGTGAGAACAGGGCCAGGCACACTCCCCATCCTCTGTGGACTCCACTGTCAAAAACCTTCAAAGCCCTTTCCACACCCTGTCTCAAGGAACCTATGCTAGGCAGGTTTCTACCTCCACCAACACTTCTCATTGGCTGTTACTTTGAGTTTATATGACTCAAAGCTACCAATTACTGGACAGTAACACTTTGTTAAGCCTGATACTAAGCACTCTGTATATAATTATCTCCCAATCCCCTTCTTCAAAATCGCACCACACAGATGAAACCCCAAGGAGAAGAAACTGACTTAACCTGCCGCTGCCCACTGTGCCATGCCACCTCTGGCAGCCCTTGCTGAGAATAAGGGGTGGCCAGAAAGCCTGGGAAGAGATAGGGCCTGGTTATGTCCCAGGGTGATGGCCTCTGCTGCTCTGTGCCTATGTTGCCTCTTACTTCTCTTCTTAGTCCTCTATCCAGGAACTGCACTGGGCCCAGCCCCAGCCTCAATGCTCAGATCCTTCTAGATACCACTCTTGAAGGGGAAAGGAGTTACATGAGACCACACAATCAATTCTCACATATTCTTGTCTGATGATGTCAATGCAACCAGCTCATAGATCTGGGGAGGGCCCAGCTCAGAGGTGCAGATGATGAAGAAGGCTCGTTTATCTGGTGAGGAAAGGAGAGCCAGAGAGTCTACATTGGGCACGGCAGACATGGTCCCCAACCTGAAGAAGCACTATGAGATATATCGGGGTCATCAGAATCAATCAGGGCTCACCAACATATGTCACAGGTAATTATGGGACCCTAGTAACATCTGTCAGGGCCATTCTTCCTTCTCTCTTGCCCTACTGACTGAGGGCTCAGTTTATCCTTTCATATATACCCATCACTTTTGAGATGCATAGGGAGGTCAGGTGTCACAGATGAAGGCAATCCCAGGGAATGTGTTGCTGACTCCTGCTCTTTCTCATCATATCATACCTTGCACTATAATCTCAAATTCCTAGACTCAGCTCTGTGCTATAGATGTGTGTGTGCGTGTGTGCGCGTGCATGCATGTGTTTAAATGCCTGCGCTGCTCAAGGAACTCTTGCAACAAGATCTGCCCTATTCTTTATTTCACTCCAATTCCTTCAAATCTTACGTTTATATCCTCAGTCTCCCCCAGTGCAACCATGCTGCCCACCCCTGTCTTTGAAGGTTGACCACCTTTGCCTTGGTCCCTTATCCACCCCTCACCCTGCCCATCTTGGACCAGATCTTCATGCGTAGACTGGGTCAAGATAGGAAAGGAACACAGGAGGACATTAAGTCTTGTAAAGCCCCAGAATGGGCCTACATCACCCAATGCTCACTGGATAGTGAATGGTGAACATGTCACAGAGCCCCAGGCTTGCTGGCTCATCTCCTCATGGGTACCTGTGGCCACGGAGCGGACAAGCACAGCATTGAGTTTCAGCACAGGGCTGAAGGTCTGCTTGCTGTCTGAGGAGCCCACAGCTGTCTTGCTGTGGCACTTCAGCAGCAGCCTTTCCTCTTGTCTCTGCAGCAGCACCAGCAGGTCCTCCAGTAACAGCACCTGGAGGTCTGGGAATTAAGACAAGCCCTGAGCTCCCTCAGCCCTCATTAGGCCCAGAGGCTATCAGATGCCCAAGCCCAGGACTAGGAGGCCACAGGAATGCAGACTCCAATTCTTCTTGTGTCCACGTCCTCCCTTCTCACACCGCGCTCAAGGAACCCTTGTGCTGCCATCCTAGTTGCATGTGTGAGCCTCCCCAGGGTCCCACCACCCACTGGAGCAGTTTCTCCCATTTGCAGCCCGGGCACATACCCAGGGTCTTATCCTTGCTGATCCTCCAGGTCAGGGGCCCCTCATGGATCATCTTCCTTGTTGTAAGATCCAGGCTCTGTTAAGGAGACACCATCACTCACTCACTCACCAACCATCTAAGAAACCACTGTGTACGGATGTCAAATCGGGTGCTGGGATTAGTGAGCAGCAAACAACTGTCACCTTCAAGCTTTCACATGGGATGGAGAGAAGTAAAGGCACTATGAAGCCCTGTGTCCTGCGATGTTCTGGGGTATACCACGGCTTTGGGTTTCCCACTTGGCCCACCCCATGTCGTCTAACCTTCCAAGAAGACAGGGCTGCTTTTTCTTTCCTGACCTTCTCTTTGGCTTTATTTCCTATAAATTATTTCCGCCTCAAGTCCTCCTCAACTCTGTTTTTCTAGGCTGAATCCCAACAGCTAGTCTTTATTTAGTGTGGCTGTCTGTTCTTGTCCATCGAGGGACGAGGGACACCAACATATTGTATCTCCCGGGGCCACCCTCTCACAGGCAGTCCACGTCTCTTAGCTCTAAGACTCAGTGGACCCTGACTTGAGCTCTGCTCCTAAGGAGCCCCAGGAGGATGGCTGTGAGGGGCTGCCAGAGCTGCAGCTCCAACCTCCTACCTTGAACTCTGCTGCCAACGGGTTGCTGGCCCGCTCTAGGGCAGTGGCATCCAGGCGCTTCTGGTAGCCCTCTAATCGGTGACGGTTCTCTGTTTGCTTCACTGCTTCATTCACAAACTTGAGAATCTCTCGGCACTGGTCCCGGGCACGGCACAGCTTCTCATGCTCAGATGTGCCACCTACCAAACGGGGGTGTGTGCACTGTTTGGTGCTCTGCCTGCCAAGTGTGTGTTCTCACCTCTCTAGTGTTATATATGGTTTAACACATCCGCTCATTTGCTATGATTCTGTGTGTAGGCATGCATGCCAAAGTGTGCATGTGGAGCTCAGAGGACAACTGTTTCTCCCCTTCCACTGTACTCATCTTGCTAGTACCCTGGTTATAGCTTTTGCACACTGCAGAGGCATCCAGCAGACATATGAATGGGTGCTAAAACCCAGCATAGCCCTGGGAGGAGCCCACAATTGCTCAGGTGCCAAGATGGCCTCATGGACCAGCCTGTGGGTCCATGCTTCTTGATTTGCTATAAAGGCCCCACAAGCCAGTAGCGGCCTTGCAGTACTTTGTAGTTCCAAATCTCATTTACAATCATTTTCTTCGAGACTCACTGTACCAGGACAAGGAAGAAGACACTCACAATCATAAAGGACCTCAGTTTGCCAAGATCACAAAACTGTGACACAGAAAGGAACTTTGCTGCCACAAGGCCCTGGCCCTCCCCTGCCCTACCCTCTGTGTGCTTGATGATGCTCTCTAGCAGCAGTGGGTACTTGGTAAGCCGCTGCATTTCAGAGATGATAAGGTCTCGAAGCTGCAGCCGCCGGCACTGAGGGTGGCTCTCAGCCTCCTGAATAGCAAGAAGCAGACAGAGGAAGAGGTCAACTAGTGGTTGGGAGCTGCCTTCAGGAGTCAGAGCTAAGATGGCTGTGAAAAAGCCAGTTGGTCCTAACTCCAGATGGGTCCCCTGAAAATGGTGGTAGTTTTTTCCTTCAACATTTAGGGAGGGGTCGATGTTGCTAGGAAGAGATGGTCAAAACAGAAGGACAGTGTCATTCCCATTTTACAGAAAAGCACATACTAGTCCGAGTAGGTAAGCCAGGCCTTTTGCCTGTAACGCAAAGTACTTGTCAACCAAAGGTGTCTCTGCTCTACAGGTAATGCTTTACAGTACTGGTGCTGGGTGATGTGGGTAGGTGGGGGCACTGCTAGGTGTCATCCTCAGTAGAGAAGGGATGAGGTTAGGGACCAGAAGAGGAGGTTAGAAGATCTCTGGTGAGCATGACAGAGACGAGGGAGAGCAAGAAATAGCCCAGGATACCTGCATGAAGAGCTGGAACCGACTCTCCTTGCGTTGCTTAGTCTTGATCAGTTCTAGGGCTACTGACTGATAGGAACAGAATTGTGCAGCTACTTGTTGGAGTTCCTCTCGGGCAGGACCATCAAACTGAAGAGGCAGAACAGACATGGTCCAGGTGTCACACTCCTGCCAGAGAGCAGCACCCCTCCCCTTGACTATCCCCTTCTCTGTTAAATTCTTTACACAAGATTTCTTGTGTAAAGAAATCTTGCTTCCTGTAATCTCCTCCTTGCCATACCCGAGCCAGCATGAGGTCACTGACATCTCTGATAATAGGGCCTTCCTCCCGGAGCTTCTTCATGGCTTCACACCAGGAATCTGTGGTGAGAAGGAAGAAACAGAAATGTGAGGGGTTGAGCCATACTGCTAGACCCTGCTGGAGAAAAGGCATTTGACAGCAGTGCCACAGAGAAGGCTGGAACCTTTACTCTAGGGGTTCTGGAGGGTTAGTGTCAAGCTATCTATCAGTTTCTCCCAGCAGGAGTAGTGAGGGTGTGCTGGTTGGCCTTATGTCAACCTGACATACAAACTAGAGGAATCTGAAAGGACGGAACCTTAATTGAGAAAATGCCTCTGTAAGATCTGACTGTAGGCAATTTCTTAATTAGTTATTGATAGGGAAGGGCCCAGCTCATTGCGGGTGGTGCCATCCCTGGGTTGGTGGTTCTGGGTTCTGTAAGAGAGCAGGCTGAGTAAGGCAGGTGGATCAAGTCAGTGAGAAGCACCCCTGCATGGCTTCGGCATGAGGGCCATACCTACCCCAGGTTCCTGCCCTGCTTGACTTCCTTTGATGATGAACAGTGATGTGGAAGTGTAAGACAAATAAACCCTTTCCTCTGCAACTTGCTTTTTGATCATGGTGTTTCATCACAGCAATAGAAACCCTGACTAAGACAGGGGGACCTAGGTGGAGGGTAGGGTTCAAACTGAAACAGAATCAAAGGTGGAGGGCATCTGGAGGGACACAGGCTCCTTACTGTGAATTTCTATGAGTTCGGGCAGATTGGGGAAGAGCCTTGCCAGCTCTTCCCGAGACATTAGGTTCTCCTTCTTCATGCGCTGGTAGAAGACGAGGTCCAGGACCCGGAGTGTGCGCAGGTGGGATGCCTCTGTCACAAACAGCTCTGAGCAGGGGTTGTGACAAGGAGAGGCAGGGAAAAAAATACATCAGTTAAGTGTCTAGAGCCATTACATGGTTCTCACACCATACCACTTTGGGGGAAATGGAGTGCTGATTTGTCTACTGCTGGCCTAAGAAGGCCAGACATGAGGTGACCTTGAGAAATCTCCCTTACTCCACAGAAGCAGAAGTGGAGATGGGGAGTGGGGGGGGGGGGAGATAAGGCAGGTGCTCACCATTGATGACCTCTTGCCGCTCAATTTCCCTCTGTGTCAGCCCTGCTACCACATCCTTGCCTACTGTATGCTGCCAGTTTTGAACCTCTGGCTCTGGCTCCAGGTCAGACAGCTGGCCAAGATCATCCTCCAGGAGGTGGGGAAGGATGACATCTGAACAGAACCCCAGATTCGGGGACTCGATGCTCCTGAAAAAAAAAGGGGAACTCAGCTTCACTTGTAGGTAACTTACACTCGAGGTTGTCTGTCACTCTCCTACCCAACCTGTGTTCCCCAGGCACATGGAGAAGAGATTCATATCTGGGAAGGTGGCTCAACACAGATGTGCCACAGAGAGATTAAACAGAGGCACCACAGTGCTTACCACTTACCTGCGGCCCATTTTGGGGGTGAAGGGAGGGGTTGGGTTCTCAAGAGACCTGAGGAGAAAATGCCAACTCTTAATCTATTGTCATCATACTAAATAGCAATGGATGTGCTCTCTGGCGTTTACTCACCTGGTGGAGAGGCTGGAGGCAGAGGATGAAGCTGACTGATGAAGGCGAGTGGCCTCAGCAGCAGCATCCATGTCAACATCGCTTCGAGATCGGGGCACATTCTCCGCTTTCCGAGATCGCTTCATCTCTTCCCGGCCCTTAAGGCTCTCAGAACGGCCCAGGCGAATCTCTGAGCGTGAACTGCCAGAGAAGAACAAGAAGCTCTGAGATCTGACATTATGGATATCTTTTACCTGTTACCCCATTTCAAGGGTGCCTCAATACCACAGGTCTAAACATGAGGGTCCAGAAGCTATACAATGACATGCTGCTCTGGCTGCTCCACAGACTCTTTTGCTCTCAGTGCACTTACTGGATACTTTCCCCTCTTTACCTTGAGCTATCAGAAAGGTGAAGCCAGGGGCTAAGAGAATCAGCTTTGTGGTGTGCCCAGATGCCTAAGAGGCCATGATCCTTTCAGAAAACCCATGGATAATATAACCCTTCATCAGGAACTACAAGGTCTGACCTCCCTGCCCAGAAGGCCACTCATGGCCAGTGCACCTTGCTTGTTTTGGACCAGCTACTCTCTTCTCTGATGCTGTTTGAGGTAGGTCTTCCCTTGACAAGATCCTCTTTGAGGAAGGTATGGTTACGGCTCCCCAACCTTGGTTCCATAATTCCCTAGGCTGTCTGTCTGAAGATGCTGTAGCATCCTCACTCTCTAGCTGTGATGCCGATTTCTTCTTTTCCTGACAAAACCCTTCCTAAGCTGCTATTTCCTTTCCAGGGAGGAATGGCTGGGGAGGATGCTTCCAGGGTCTGGTTATACACAGTCAGGGGTTCAATCTGGCTGGCATTGGGGCTTGGTAAAATACTGACAACTGAGAACTGCTTTCTGTTGAGTTCTACAGTGCATCACCCTTAACACAGCGAGCAACCCTGACCCTTAGATGCCCCTGGATACCATCAGGCCCTGCTGGCTGGCCCTTTGTTGACATATTACTAATCTATATTCTGTTCTGTGTCTGGAACCACAGAAGGCCTTGAGATGTCTGGAGAGCTCTCGATAGTAAAGCAGGCTGCTGAAGCAGGAAGCCAAGTACCTCAAATCTTTATTTATACTACTAAATACTCTAAAACATGGAGCTCTCCTCCTGAGGGCCTGAATTTATCTTCAGAGTTTGTAAACATCTTGACGACCTACTGAACTTAACCCTCAGAAATCTACAAGAACAATTTGAATGCAGGTCAACTCACATTGTATTCTGTGTCCTCAGTCAGCACTATAAACCTCTTCTACCACAGTTAGAGGGCTGTACAGCTTTGTAACTTCCTGGAAGAACCTTGGGTACTCAATACCTGCTGAGCAGCTAAGGCAACCTAAACTATCTTCCTGTGCATGCTGTTCTCCCAAGGTTACCAAGGAGTTTACAAAAAAAACCCCAAAGGCTTCTGCTTAGAATACTTTTAGGATTTTGGTGACTATCTTAGGTAGCACAAATTCCCTAGGAAGGCCAAGGATACAAGTCTGTAAGTGGTTTCAAAGGTTTTCTCAAGGTATTGACAATGTCTCCCAAACTTAAAATATTTGACATATTTAAATTACCACACCTGCCACAGCAATTATGTAACTCATGTCAAATTTACCTGCAAATATTATATAACTGTGACCTCTCTCCATAGCACAACTCTCAAAGTTTACTGCCCCCAAATCTTTGTCAAGTCCCTTGACATGCACTAAGTTTATGAAGGCCTAATACAGAACAGAAAGAATAAACTTGCATTCAAGCAAGAACACCTGACTCAGAGTTGACAGTGATCTCAAAGGCAAAATGGATAGAGTATCTACCCTGCTGCCTGCAAGCTTGCCTCTCTGCCTACCTCTATTCCTCAGTGGCTTTCAGACTTGATTTACAATAGGATCATTTTCCTATACAAGGGCTGTAGAACTATACCTCAAGGGTGACTTAAGGAATCTGCACAGGTATTTCTGACTATAGGCAATCTTTACTTAAAGCTAGCTGTAGCCAAGACTTGACTGTTGTTATGCCAGTCAGGAGCAAGTAAATCGTACAGCATGTGTTAAAACCAGACAAACATCCTTGTTTGGAACCTGATACCTGATGGAGATGCAAAAAATGAGATAACACAATTCCCAACCCCTTTCAACCCTTTTGAGATAGGGTCTTACTTAAGCCTAGGCTGGCACTGAGCTCTCAGGTGATCCTCCTGAGATTACAGACATGTGTCACCATACCTGCCCTCCTTTTCTTTGCAAAGGGAAGAACAATCTGTCTTGAACCCACTGACACTGTGGTTGGCTGAGATGGATGACTTATTCTCGGTTATTTGTTTATTTTTTAAAGTGTCTACAAAAACTCCTTTCTAAGCATTTTAATAATAATTATCAACAATAATTATTATTATTTTCAGAGGTTTCTCTATGAAAACCAGGATGACCTGGAATTCACAGAACTCTACCTGCCTCTGCCTCTCTAGTGCTGGGATTAAAAGAGTGACCATCACGCTTAGATTAAATTTTCTTCTTAAGAAGCAAAGACTTACTTTAGCCTCTTCCAGCCTTTTATTTTCCAAGTCTTTGCTCTTTTTCATGCAAAGTCCTTTCTCCATGTCACCCAGTGCTTCCTGATTAGCTGCTGGATAATATAACCTAGTTCCACTTTGGAATGCCACTGCTTAGTAGTTAGAGGATCAACCTGAAGGCTGTTCATATGATCTCCCGCTGGCCCAACTCCCAACACATAGTTATGCTTCTGCAGCTATGTAAGGTGGCAGGCTCTATGGTGGGACCTCATAGTCTAGCGGAGAGGAGCAAGGCAGCTGCAATTAAACCCTAGTGATGAAGCCTGCCCATGCCCCGTATCTTGGGCAGTTGGTGGGCCCCATCCAGCTACAGCTACCTGTCACTCTCCAGCAGATCCTCAGGAAAGCTTCCTGTTGAGAGTCGCTGTGTCCCCGGCTCTGGGACATCATACTGATGGCTGTTCTCAAAGTGCTGAATGATGTTCCTCACATTGCCTGGCTTAACTGCAGGCAAAAAGAAAATGAAGGGTACTATGCTTTCTGTTCCAGGGCCCTTACTCCCCTCTAGCCCAGAAGACAGAGCAATGAACAAGCATAGATGAGAACAGTATGGGACCAGAAGACAGGAGCATGGTCTAGCCCTCACTCTTCTGTGATTATGCTGTGTGGTCCTGGGTGGACACTCTCCCTTTCTCATGTATAAAATGAGAGGGTTTAGAATACTCATATTCTAATGAAAACAATGACTAAGTTTTCCTTAAGTCACATAGCAGGTTTAAAAAAGGAAGCCAGAAAGGTGAACCAAACGCCTACAGAGGATGTTTTCATGTTGCAAATCTCAGGCCCTTCTCAAATTTCTACTACTTTTAGAACATCCTGCCCCCTACACTCCCCACCCCACAACTTCCATCACATCTCATCCTCTGGCCAGCTTTGAGCTCCATCATTAAAGAATTGGTGACAGGTAATGTCTTAGAATAGAGGTGACACATTACTCTCTGGTATTTAAATTATAGGTCTTTCCCCATCTTAGGGAGCCAGTCTTGTTCAAGAACAAGCAAGGGGCAGAGATGGGGAGGAAGCCAAGACACAATATCGAAAACCCTGCAGAAGGGGCCTAAGACTCAAGCCTGGCATCTGCAAGCCAGAGAGGAGATGAAGAGTCAGGACAGTCACATGAGGTTAGAGCAGGGCTGGGGTAGAGGACAAAGGAGGCACTGACCTGATGAGAACAAGCCTGACCTTGTCCCAAAAACCTGACTTTCACAGGAAAATTCCCAAGCCTGAGAGAAAAAAATATTTGTCCATTTTCTTCTATGTGTACAGCTCCATCCTTGAGGCAGGTGGATAAGGTGCAGCTTTCTCACACTCTCTAAGTGGCTGGGTGTGTGTTTAACAGGGTGGTTCCTATATGGGGCTGCAGACTCGATGGCCTACTGTGCGCCCACAGTGAGACTGTCTGGATGGTTATGTAAGAATCTAGAAGTCCCTATGTCTGAGAACACGAGGCAGAGTCTACTACTGGCTGAAAAGTGTCTAGGTGTGCTCTATACAGCGTGTGGTTGCGGCAAAAAGCAGGGGCAGCTCTGAGATATGGTAGAGCTGGGTAACTCAGAGTAACAAGAGGAAGCAGAAAGGAGCCCGTTTTTAATCCCATCAGTTGCCCCCTTTCCTCCAGTCTCTTGAGTGATGACAGAACTAAGTAAAAGTGAATTATGTGGGCCAGGGCGATAGCTCAGAAAGTGAAGTGCTTGCTGCATGAACGGGAGGACCAAGGTTGAACCCTTCACACCCACATAAAAAGCCAGGTGTGGTGGCAAGTGCTTGTAATTCCAGTAGTATGAAGATGGAGATAGCTAGCTTAGCAGAATGGCGAGCCCCAGGCCCGAGTGAGAGAGGCAGACCATCATAACAAACAAGGTACATGTTTCATGACAACTGACACTTGAGGTTGACCTTTGACTTCTATAGTCCCTGATACACATGAATTGTTATTAGCAACCAGACAAACCGATGGGAGGGTTGATTCTGAGTGTCAACTGAGTCTTCCTGGCAGTGGGTGTTTGATCTTCAGATGTAGACATACACTTGGCTGATGTCCTAGGAATTTTAGAAGCCCAAATCAAATCAAGCAGAGTGATAAACTCTGAATTAAGGAACATGAGGATTGACAATGGGGCTAGAGAGGCTCAAGCAGGATAAGAGTGTGTACTGCTCCTTCAGAAGGACAGGGCCCCATTGCCAGCAACCACATCAGGCAGACAGAAGCTGCCTGTCTCTTCAGCTCCAGGGGTTCTGACTTCTCTGCCTCTGTGAGCACCTGCATTCATGTGCACATGCCTACACACAATCAGAAATAACAACAACAACAACAATAAATCTTGAGAAAAGAGAACACGTGGATCCCTGGCACCTTTACCATGCTCTGCGGGGCTCAGCAACCTTGCCTCATTGTGTGCATTCTTGCTTGGTCATCTTTCCAGCCCACCGTGTGCATTCGTGTTCTCTCTCAAACTGGCACAAAGTAAGCTTGCTCCTGAAGTGGAGCTGCTCAGTGTCTTACAACTTACTGCTGCCTCAGACTTTGGCAGCTGTGAGCCTGGAGCTGGGGATGTGACTCAGTAGTGGAGTAGCCTGGTTCCAATAATGGGCCTGGATTTTAGGGCTGTTCTTTTGTTTTTCCACAAGTTAAAATTTTTTCAAGAATTATCTTTATGGCTTAAGATAGCATGTAACATCAGTAACTTAAAATAATTCTAAAGGCACTACTTTAAATTGCCATTTTTACATAAAATGAGTTCTAGGAACAGAATTTCATGACTATTCTATTGTTCTCTCTCTATCTCTCTTTCTCTCCATGTATAAAGTACTATGGAACCTAAAAAGCATTAATAATTTTTTGTACTTTTTTTTTTTTTTGAGACAGGATCTCATGTGGCTCAGACTATGTAGCTGACACTGACTGTCATTTCCCAATCCTCCTGCCTCTACTTCCCAAGTTCTGGTGTTATAGGAGTATGCCACTATGCATGATTTGAAAATACTAATTAATTGCATACATATGGACCTTACTGATGAAAATAAACTGATTTTATGACATTTTGATGTAGGCTGTAAGTTTCTTATGCGTTAATATGTGTAATTTGTTTTATTATTATTTTGCTGTGCTGGGAATCAAAGCCAGGTCTTTACACATGCAGATCATGTGCTCTACTGAGCCAACCTGTAGCCCTAGATCAATTATTGTTTGGGTGTGTGTGTGTGTAAAACCTAACCTTCAAATGTTAATCCTCAAGAAAAGACTACATTTTCCCACTCCCAACACGGTCTCACTGATGTGGGGTATGCTGACTCAGCTAGGCTGGCTGATCAGGGAGCCCCAGGGTCTCCCTGCCTCCACCTGCTCCTCATTGATGCAATCACACATGTATACCATTACTTTAAAAAATATATTTATTAAATGTATATGGGTGTTTTGACTGAATGTATATCTGTGCTGGGGATCAAACTCAAGTTCTCTGTTTTTGTGGCAAGTACTTTACTGTCTCAAACATGTAGCCCAGCCTAGCATCCAACTCAATATTCTCTCCCCTACTACAATTTATGGGCCTAAGCAGGAATATCGGATACAAACACAGAAAAATTATTAGCAACTTGTAATTAAAAAAAAAAAAAAACAACTGAAAATTGGTTATTTTTTTCATTGTATGAAAACCTGAGTACTCTTGTTTCTATCTCCCTGCAATACACATTGCAGTCTAGTAGAGTTTGCTTCCTGTACACAGTCACCTAAAAGCTTGTATATTGATGGCTAGGTTAATGGTGTGACTGAGAGGTGGTAAGTGTTTTAGGTGTTAGGTCTACTTAGAAGGTGGGCATAAGGAGAGGTATGTCCTTGAAAAGGACACTCAGACTTCAGTAGCTTCTCTTCCTGTTTCATGACTTAGGCAGATTTCCTCTGCCACATGCCACACACCGTCTTACCATACCACAAAGCAATGGGGCCAAGTAACTGAAACTTTTGAAACTATTAGCCCAGATGAACTCTTCATCTTTTTAAGTTGTTTATCTCAGATATTTTGTTACAGTGACAAGCTAATATACCCTAAAGAGCAAAGGCTAGGGAACCTGTAGCCAAGAAAGCTGATCTCTGTCAGAACCTCAAGGAAGCCCCACTTGGGGAAAGGGGCGTTTCTATCTCTCAGAAACCAGGTAAAGTAACAAGATCTGGCAGCAAACACAGTGGAGAAGAGAGATCCAACAGTCTGTGTTACAGAGAAGCTACAGCAGAAAGGAAGAATATATAAGAAAGATGGAGAGAAGGAAAGAAGGAAGGAGGGACCAGATAGGACCAAATGGAAAAGAGCAAAACCTTGGGAGGCAGAAAATTGATGCTGATGAGAAGATAAAAACCAAAGAAAATGGTCCTTTTACCTTCCACAGGGGACAAGGAAATATGAAATGCTAAAAGAAAAACAAACAAAAACAAAAGTAAACCATGAAAAGTCAAATTAATGTCGCAAGAGTCAAAATAAAAATTGTACCAAGTTGGAAAATGAAAAGGTAGTGACAAAAACCAAAGTAGATCCAGAAGAGACCCTTTTTCCCACCCCTCCCTGTGTCCCCATGTTCAGTGCAGGCCCACATCACTACTCAGATTCCCACTGAAACTCAGGGTTGACAAGACTGACCATTTCTGACATATGACACATGCTGGTGAGAAATCAGTGGAAGGGCCATTAGTGTTTTATTACCAACAGTATCACAGAGCCAGAAACCTGCTTCTGAGTTCCCAGACTAAGAGCTAAGGGCAAGCACTGGTCCCCCGGCTCTGAAACATTTACCTACCTCAGTGAGATTGTACAAGACGGGACACAGGGAGACAGCAGCAGTACTAAGAGCAAGCTACAGTCTCCAGAATTTAGGCCTTAGATTGCAGAACACAGGAAGGCCCTCTACTTCCTGGGTAGGTGAAGGGCTGAGTTCTCTAGCAAAGAATGGCCAAGGCTACTGCTCTCCAAGATACTCACCGCTCTGAGAAGAGCTTTTGGGCTTCCCAATGTATCTGAGGATGGGATTTCGCTTCTTGTCCTCCAACGCATCCTTTTCTTTCTTGGAATTGCTGCTCTGCTGAGATAGGAGATATTAGTTTGGAGGTGGTTCAACACTCACACATGTCTGCTAATTACTCTTCCCCAGTTCCCAACACTGGCCCTAAGTAAATCATTGGAAAGCTGACTGAGGTTTGATTATATCTTAATGAACACGTTCCATCTTAGTCTGGGAACTCAGAAGCAGCTGTAGCTACTGAATAGTTCTGTGGAAGAACTTCTTCTTTGGAAGATGGCACTGGTGATTTTTAGTTAGTTCCCTCTTTACTCTTTGTCTTCATCCCTGTGATTTTGTGTTTGAGACCTTTGATAAGGGCTTTGAATGGTCAGACTTGCAGAAAGGAGAGGAATGTAGCTGGAAGGCTGTGAAATGGCTTTCCTGGTCTGCCTCAGCACAGAGGACTGCTCCAGAAAAGCTATGGTCCAGGGCAGTTCTGTTACCTTCTTGGTCTTAGGGAAGAAAGGCAGCCACTTGTCCTTGTCAGGGGCAGACTGGGCCTTTTCTGCTGTGCTGGAGTGTCGTGACTCCCGAAGACGAATCCCAGCATGGCTCATGTAGGTATTAACAGCGAAGTCCATGGGAGCACTGCAAGACAGCAGTGTTGTGAACCAGAAAGGTCGATCAGTGTTTCTTAACAAAAGGCTGAAAGACCAAAACCCAGCTCAAGACAATCTCCCCACAGCACCCCATGAAGAAGAAAAGGGGGAGTTATGAGTTAACATATTCAAATTCAAGTCTGGATGATTACAAGTGACAGCAGTCAGGAGCTGGCCAAAAAAAAAGAGAGAAAGAGAGAGAGAGAAATCTAAGTAGTACTCTCGTACTCTCTCCCTATAAAAGGATGACGGTGAGTGGATGGGAACATAAAGTCCCTAAAATATAAGGCCTGGAAGATGAGCCTGTAGCCAACCTCAGACAGACACATGAGGTTAAGGCAAGCACACAGCCTTCATCTGCCCCATCCCTGAGAAGACAGACACATGAGGTTTAAGGCAGGCATACAGCTTTCATTTGCTCCATTCTGAAGAAGGAAGAAGAAGGAATAATAATAAATAATAATAATAATAATAATAATAATAATAATAATAATAATAATGGGAACAACAGACACATGAGGTTTAAGGCAGGCATATAGCCTTCATCTGCCCCAATCCCTGAGAAGAAGAAAGATAAAGCAAAGGGTTATCAAGATGCTTCTAATTGCCACAAACAAATGGAACTGTCCAGAGCTCTGTGCTTAAAATAAATCTATCAGCTTATAATTCAGTACAAATTATCTGCTTTCACTTTGGCTTCATGGCCCATCTCTTCCCTAACAAAGTGTGTGCAAGCAGGAAATGCAGACCCATTTTAAGCTGACAAAAAAATAATAAGGCCAATATGTAAGATTAAAAGAAATATGCCAAGAAAGAAAATGCTTTTTTTTCCTCTCTGCTAGTGCCACCACCACAGACTAGCTAACACCATTTCTTTGGGAGGTAAAACCTCTCCACAGGGAAAGGAGTTGGAAGGGAGACTCAGGGGTATTGTGGGTAGACGTATGGCAGGTGTGACAGGTCAGGAGCTGAGGGCCAGCCTGCTTCACCAAGGAACAGACCTACACCCTATGATGGTCTCTACGCATCAAAGATCTGGACCTAAGTCCTGCATGTTATGGTTAGTTACCTGGGAACTAAACTCGTACAGACTAATGCCCTGCAATGTCACAGCTTTCTTGGGTGGAGCACAAATGGAAAGCACAGGAGAGCCTAGCCCTGCTTCTTCCCACCTTGAGTGTTGCCAATGAACCACACCATGGATTTGCTCACCTCCGGTCTTCCTCATACTTGGACCTGTAATGAAAGAACAGATGACATGGACCTGTTCTGGGAGCAGAGGCTGGAAGTCCCTTCTTGGAGAAAAGAGGAAGGATGGTAGGGAGAACAAGGTCAGATTCAAGGGTCTTGGTCATAGTTCTGGAGCCTTGTGGCTCAGATGAGAGTTCGTATTTCCTCAAGTATTCAACTACCACAATGGTAATAATGACAGTAATGTTTTTCTAGTTCAAAGTGGGACACGGCAAATTCAGTCTCTGTTTTCTGTTTCAGAGTATAAGGTTATCAGGAGGTTAAAAATGAAAACTGAAGCCTGACCCAAAGAAGCTTATTTTCAAGAGGCAAATGGTAATAGCAATGAATGTTTGGGGATTGCTATGGGCCAGGCATTTTTATAATTTTTATCCACACAATAAACTTATTTAATTTTAAAACACCCACAAGAAGGCTCCTATTTTGTAAGAACAAAATATGACTTTAAAATAGAAACTTCTCTAAGGTGGGTTTCTAAGATCTCCAAACAGGCCCAGCCCAGCCCCACCTCCAGCCTAGAGGCACCAGTTACTGCCACCTCACTGCAGAAAGGCAGGAGGTGGAGCCTGTGAAGACCATGCTTGCCGTGTGATTCCCTTTCCAGTCCAGAGTTCCTGCTCTTCCTTCTTTATTATTCATTAGTACTGGGGATTGAACGCAGCGTCTTATACATGTTAGGCAATCACTCTAACACTGCACTATATACTCTGCCATTAAAATCTTTTTTTTTTTTTAAATCTTGGTCCTCCTAATGAGTTTTATTTCAGTAGCTCAGGGAAACCTTGACTTTTGCCTCAGCCTCTCAAAGTAGCTGGGTTTACAGGCCTATTCCACCTGCTAATTTTTATTTTTCAGTGAATGGAAACTTGGGCCTTGCTTGTTAGTCTTCAAATTTGCAGTTTGATCCCAAACTGTTCCCTGTGTTACTAACTGTGCCGAGTGACTGACAGTAGCTTTGGTAAGACACTCTTGGACTCCCTCCTCTGACTTTTCTTTCATACTCCACACCCAAGTTTTAGAAAGTTCTCTTAGTGATTCTACTGCTCAGCTCCACCAAAAGCTAACCTCTGTTCACATCTTCCATGGCTATCCCTTTATCATCATTTGTGGGGATTCCTATGGAGGAGACTTCTAATTGAACATCCTAGCTTTTCCATCTCTTTTGACACCCAAAGTGTAGCCTTCTGCAGCTCCAACAGTTCCTCACTTGCCAAGTGAAGACAAAAATCTTCCCCATATTATGTGCTACCCCCTCCTGTTACCTGGCTTCATCACATATTTTTCACTCTGCTCTTCCACACTGGTTTCATAACTGTTCCTTAAATGTTGAGCACATTCTACTTGGCTTCTTCTGTCTACAGTGCTTTCTCAGATGTCAGGGATAATTTAGTCAATCTCTTCCACTGACTAAGTACTACCTTTGCCAGGCAGTTCATCTGGACTAGCCTTTTAAAATCTGCAACCCAACCCAATCTGGTACTCCAAGCCATCTATACCCCATCCTGTTTCCTCCCCCAGTGCTTATTATCATTAACATACTGCCAATCTATGTAATTCTTATATACTGCTGCCTCTTCTCATCATTTCATAATGCCCACAGAGGAAACAACCACTAGATGTGTCCATACAGCGATGTTCATGAGATACATCATACAGTGGCACACAGAGAAAACACATTTGATATCTGTCAAACTGGAAGGCTTGTGTCACTGACACTACCAAGCTCACGTAGGCTAACTTTTGTCATTTAGTATGTGAGGCCCAGAGTTCAGTCATCACTCCTGCCCTGAGATTCAAATCACAGACAACACATGGGCTGCCCATGGTGGTGCACGCCTTTAATCCCAGCACTTGGGAGGCAGAAGCAGCCGGGGTTCCAGACCAGCCTGGTCTACAAAGCAAGTCTAGGATAGCAGGGCTTGTTACATAGAGAAACCTTGTGTTAAAAAACAAAATGAAACAAACAAACAAAAACCAAAAACCAAACAACAAAAAACCCAAACAAACAAAAGAAAAAAAAATGAGACTTGAGGGGCTAGGGAAATGGCTCAGTGGTAAAGACCACTGGCTGCTCTTCCAGAGGACCTGAGTTTGATTCTTAACATCCACATGGTGGCTCATAACTGACTATAACTCTAGCTATGGAGGTGGTATGGAATGTCCGACACCCTCTTCTGGCCTCTTTGGGCACTGCACACACATGATGGCATAGACATCTGTGCAGTGAAAACAACTCAAGACACATAAATTCAAAGGAACAACAAAGAAACAAAGCACTGGAGAAGCACAGTGGGAACAGCTGTGCTGAAGCTCCCAGAAAGGTGCTCTAGTTTTCTGCTGTGCTGTTCCTTAAGTCAGTTCTTACCCTCTCCTAAAGGTGCTCTGGGGGCACTGGAGTGTCACAGCCACCAATAAACTGCCTCAGCACAAATGCAGAAGGATCTTCTGTCTTTTGGTGAAAAAGAACACTAAAGAAGTGGAAGGTAGAAACCAGACCTACAAGACCTGCCAACCTGCCTGCTAAGTTCACAGGGAGGAGTGAAACTGAACACTCACAAGATATCTCCAAGGGCAGCTAGTTGCTTCTCTGCCATTTGGCGCTCCCGAAGAGGGTCCCCATCCAGGTCTAGCAGGTCATTTTCACCATACAGGCTGCCCAGCCCCAGAGTACGCTTTGATCTACACCAGAGATACAATAGAAAAACAAGTATCAGCCTGAACAGGCGTGGAAGCATGGGGGCACACTGAGGGGCTCTGCAAACCTGTAGTCATTCATCTGTTCCTGGATCTCCAGCATGACTGCTTCCTGAGCTTCACAGAGAACACTGCGGGGGTCCTCACTGTTCCGTAGGCGCAGGTCTGTAGTGGGAGACCAGAGAAGGTAGAATAGGTGGGTGATGGAGAGGAGATAATTTCTGCTAAGCACCTTAAGTGGTTTTGCATCCGTGATGCTGGGTGGAAAAAAACTGGCTTTTTCGCTCATTAGCCTGAAAGCAGAGGACAACTCTGTAGAATTGGTTCTCACCCCACCTTTATGTGGATTCTAGGAATTGAACTCAGGTTGTCAGGCTTAAAGCTGAATCATTCTGGTCCTATCAAAGGACAAAATTATTCTTTGGATGTGTAATGCTCCATGAGAAGGCACACTGAGGCCCTTTTTCACTGTGTATATTCTGAAATGTCTGCTGACATTAACATGTAGTTTTTATATATACGTATTCCTTCTATTGCTGTGACATGATTTCAAAGGCCTAAGAAAACAGAAGCCTTTCATACATCACAGAACCAAGTGGCGTACCCTTCCTGTTCTGACTTCTAGCACCACATAGGCTAGACCAAGGCCTTGGAAATGGCAACCTCATTTTATTTCTTCATTCGTTTATTTATTTGTTGAGGCAGGGTCTTGCTATGTAGCCCTGGTTGTCCTGGAACTTACTATACAGACCAGGCTGATTTCACACTCAGGCCTGCTTGACTGACCCTGCCTCCTGAGTGCAGAGAATAAAGGCATGTGCTACTATGCCAGGCCTCTTAGTCTCTTAGTCTATTTTTGAGTAAGCTGCTTTAGGTACATGTATTTTGTCCTTCGTCCTTCCTGTATCATTGCCAATAACTGTTTCTTTCCAAGTACAGACTGCTAGTTCCATCTTATTAAGAAACACTACTGTGCTCAGCCTCTCAAGTTGTTGTTTTTTTTTTTTTTTTTTTTGAGACAGAGTCTCATATATCCTAGACTGGCCTTAAAAACTTGCTTTGTAGCTAAGGCTGATTTTGAACTTCTGATCTTCCTGTTTCTACCTCAAAACACTAGTGTAGAAGTTCTGGCTTAGTGGGTGGGATGGAGTAAGGCCTGGGAGTCCCATGGAGGGTTGGAAAAAATGAACTCAGCTCTCCTAACTATGCCATTATCTTCCTAGGACAGGGCAATGAGCTCTGGGGTAGTATCTATTAGTGCCTGGTCCTAAGTGTGAAGTGTTTTGGAACAACCATCTATGGATTCGGCTCAGTACAGGGCAGTTACTGTGTTTCTATCTCTGGTGTTTCCTGAGAATTCAGTACAAGAAGGGCACCAAAAAGTCAACCTGATCCATGAGGCAACTTACCAATTTCAGCCTGCAACACCTCAGGAATCTTCACTCTGAGAGGCTGAAAAACAGAAAGTGGGGGCAGAAGTGAGGCTGCACACACCAAGCAGACTGGAGTGTGCAGGGGCACAAGAGAGTGTTTCCTCTCTTGTCTATACCAACCCTTCCCTCTTTCTAAACTCTTCAACTTTGGACATGAATTCTAGGCTAGGACTTTGGGAAATCACAAATGAGTTTGCAAGACAAGTTGACAGTACATTCTGAGGGTAGCCAAGCAGTTTTTTTTTTAATATCATTTTTTATTTATTACAATTTATTCACTTTGTATCTCAGCCATAGCTCTACCCTCATTCCCTCCCAATCCCTTCCTCCCTCATCTCCTCCCATGCCCCTTCCCCAGTCCACTGATAGTAGAGGACTTCCTCCCCTTCCATCTAACTTAGCCTATCAAGTCTCATCAGGATTGTCTTTCATAGTCTTCCTCTGTGGCCTGGTCAAGCTGCTCCCCCCTCAGGGGGAGGTGATCAAAGAGCCAGCACTGAGCTGATGTCAGAGGGCCAAACAGTTTTTTTTTGTTTTTATTCTGATGAAAGATGTAGAATGGCATGTTCCAAAACTGGACCAGTGTTAAATTAGTTGCTAGACTCTCCTTTGCCTCCAAGTGGTCCCAAGAGAATAACCTTTGTTATCTGATGGGTCACTACTCCTCTCCTTTGTTTTAAGTGGAAGAAGCTCGGTATGTGTTAAGTAGTCCTGCAGTTAGCATGATATTCTGGCATGTGTCCTTAAACCTCTTGCCATGGCTGGATATTGGTATGGTTTTGTGAATGATGACATAGAGTACCTGGCAGCCCTAATCTCCTTACTCAAGACCCACTCAAGGCAGTAAATACAAAACACTGAGGAAAACCAATTTCTCCAACCTCACTAAGCCTAGTAGTCACCTGTGAGAAGAATGAAATCATTTGGAATTAGTGTAGCTGATCAGATTATAAAGTCAAGATGAAGAATGCCATCTGCTGGCAGATGCTCTGGCCAGCAGCATCCCGACACATCCTGAGAGCCCAGTTCAGATAAAGAGAGGCGCTTCCTCCCAGATACAAGTCTTTCCCTCTCTACTTCCTTAAGCGAAAGTGACTTTGGCTCAATCTTGAAAACTTGTACTCACCCTTCTTGCCTCACTGACTCAGATTACCTGATGTTCTTGGGTCTGTTTCTTCATCCAAGGAAGGAAAGGCAGACAAGGTTTGAGGAGTAGTCAGAAGCCTTTATCTCAGTAGTTCTCACCTTCATAATGCTTGACTCTTAACACAGTTCCTCATGTCGTACTAACTCCAACCACGACATTATCTTTGTTGCTACTTCATAACTGTAATTTTGCTACTGTTATGAATTGCAATGTAAAAATCTGTGTTTTCTGATGGTCTTAGGTGACCCCTGTGAAAGGGTCATCTACCCCAAAAGAGGTCTTGTCCTACAGGTTGAGAACCACTGCTCTATCTCTAAATATTCTAAAGAGAGGTAGTGTGCATTCTATATGTGGAACTAAAGAGACATACAGAAGAGATAAAACCTTTACATTAAAAAAAATCTTTTATTTTATGTGTATGGGTGCTTTGCCTCAGTGTATGTATGTGTAATACATGGTGCTGTGGAGGCCAGAAGAAGAGTGCTCTATCCCCAGGAACTGAAGTTACAGATGGTTGTAAGCCACCATGTGGGTGCTGAGACTCAAAGCTGGATTCTCTGGGAAAGCAGCATGTGCTCTTAGCCACTGAACCATCTCTCCAGCCCAAGGGGAGACAAAACTTTGAGAGGCAGGAACAGAATCCAGAAATCCTAACCTCTCAGAGGCCAAAGGTCTTTAAAAACCCATCTCTATCTTCCCGGTGTTGACAACCTCCCTATGAAAACATGCCTCTCACAAAGGCTCTCCCTCATCCTCTCAGAAAAAAAAACAAGAAACAGCGCCTGGTACAGAGCCCTGATTCCTACTTTATGGATATGAACTGCCCAGGATACTACTAAATCCCTGTGGTCTTAGCCATGCACAATCTTGTGTGTTGGTCACCCAAGAAGGAAAAGAAAAGCTGACAGAAGAATGTTCCTGCAGGAGACAGCACTGAAAGCACTTGATTCAAGATAAGGAGCCATCCCAGTGAACATTTTACTTACACACACACACACACACACACACACACACACACACACACACACACA